GGCGGGGCGGCCCGGTACTCACCGGCGCCGGGGCTGTGCATCCAGGGGCCGGGCCCTCAGAGCGGGGGGCGCATGGCGGGCCGGGGGCTGGGGCGCCGGCCTCACATCCCCCGGGCGCCGGAGGCTGAACGACTGCGAGGCGGCGGGAGGAAGGGAGGGGGCCGGCAGGGGGAGGGCCCTGGCAGCCGGGCCGGCCGGGTAGGATGACAATGGAAGGAAATGCTTTATCTGAGCCTGAGAGCGGGCCAAGGGGGAGGGAGGAGGGGCGGCCCGGCCGGGACGCGGCGCCCGCAGACGCCGCCGCGGCCGAACCCGGAACGCGGGACGCCGCTCGGCCGCTGAGCCGCTGGGCCCGGCCGCCGCGCGGCGCTGGCCCCGCGCACAATTCCCGGAAACCCAGACACCTGGGCGCACGCACCCTCGCACACACCGCGTGCGGGACGCGCATCCATGTTTACACGGGAGTCTCTCGACCCGGGAAGGACCCTGCACACACTCACGCACACACATGGTTCACGCGCAAAGAGCCACACGGACGGACCGATGGGCGCACCCGGAGCCCCATGCGAGGTCCGGAGCGAAGATCCCAGACGGACGCGCGCACACAGAGCGCGCACACAGAGCGCGCACGGCTTGCCTTAGCAAAGTCCCAGGGTCTGATTTGCAGGACTGCCCAACCGCCCCCCCACCCCTTCCCCCGCCGAGGGGAGCTGAAGGGTCCAGCCTGTTCCTATTAAAAGAAAAAGGGGATGGGGGTGGTGCAGATTTTTTGAAAGTTTTCTTTTTTTAAGGAAACTTCTCGGGGGATTTCCTTCCCTCCTCTCCTCTTCCTCTCTGCCTCTCGTTCCTGCCTGCACAGCCCACCCTCTTGTCTCCCCCTCCCGGTCCCTATGAGTCAAACTTCAGCAATGTGCCCAGTGTCCCCCAGTGCATTACAGTGGATCACAGAAATGTTCCAGTCTGCGAGCGGAATGCAGCCGCCTCCAGCCCTCCCTCAGCTAATGAACTCAGCTCAGGGATGGCTTTGCGGGCACACACACCCCCTATAGGCTGGAGAGAAGGTCACTTTCGGGGGTCAGGGGCTGAGGACCTTCGCGTTGTGCTTCCTGGCCTGCCTGTCACCGGATCAGAAAGCTCCCGGGATTGGAGAGGTCTCGGACAGAGGACGGACGCAGGAGCATAGGGTTCACCTGCAGTGTGAGCACCAGGGAACAGCTTCCTCCCAGCCCATCCTACTAGTCCCTAAATTCTAAGAACCCCCACAGTTTGTATGAGGGGAAACTGAGGCAGACCCAGATCAGAAGCAAGAATCCACAGGGCTCAGAAGAGTTGGCCATGCTAAAGATGAACTCCTGACCACAGACTTCTTGCTCCCCTCTATCTCAGCTCAGGCCTTACCGCCCCCACCACCTGTAATGCTGGGCGAGCACGTGGCCTAGTTTATGTCTTCGCTGTGCTTCCCAGGGCTCACTCTCAGGTGGCTGGAACCACTGAAAGTTGCGTAGCATATCCTCACGAACTCCTCTTCTAGCCGCCAAGCCCTCCCCCACACACCCCAGCCCGTGCCTCCTGTGTGTTCTGCCCCCATGCTTGTTGCCCTTATGACTTCAGCCCGAATGGACTGCTGGCTGTCTCCCATCACGTCCGCCCCATATTTTCCCACTCCATTGCTCGGCTCCTCGGTTGCCCCAGAATGAATGCCTGCCCGAGTTCCCTCCCCCAGCCAGTGAGATTCTTTCCTTCCTGTAAAGGACATGTTGGTCTTTTCTCTCTACTGACCTCACCCACCTAGTCTGTTTGGCTTGCCCTCTTCCTTTTTCCTCAACAACATTCAAGAATGATGCCCAGCCCGGCTTCAGCCACTGTCTAGCCACTGCCCTAATCATGGCTGCATTTCTTGTAGTGCTCTGCACAAAATTCAGGCTGAGTTTGGGTGGGACAGAGCACATGGCCTCCAAGGACCGTCCTCCATCGGGACACCCGATACACCCTTCTGCCCCATGACTACACCTGTGTCTCTGTGAGCTGCCTGCCCCTTCAATCCTGCTATGTTGTCGCCAGCCCTCACTGTAGAGCCAAAATCCTCCTCCTCCCACGTCCCCTAAGGCTCACAGCCTCTAGAAAAGCCGCTGTTCTCCTGAGCCCCGGCTTGCGCCTGCTGTCTCCCTCCTGCAGGCCCGCAGTGCATCTTCTCTCAGCCCCCTTCTCTGCTTGGGGCTCACTGTCTTCTGAAGTCGGGCCTTTGCTCATTTCTACTGGGGCATCAAGATATTCATTTGCCTTCTCTCCTTAGCCCGATCACTGACCTCTGAGTGATCCAAACAGATGCCTGACTGTCCCCACAGTACCCAACAAGTGCCCTACTACACTCACCAAGACTCACTGTCCCCAAAAGAGAGGCAGCAGAAAGACAGCATGTGTGAAGTGCATCTGGGCTGCTGGGCTGGCCCATCTGTACACTGCCGGGCTTGCCTGCTGCACTACAAGCCCTGTCCCGTGGTGGGTCTTAAGCCAGTTTTTATTTTTATTATTTTATTTTATTTTGCAGTACCGGGGATTGAACTCAGGAACTTGCACTTGCCAGGCAAGCACTTATTCTACTGCGCTATCTCCCCGGCCCGTAAGCCAGTTTTTATATCACGTGTCCCCTGCTGGATATGCTAGAGAACCTCAGGAAGCCCCTTAGAGACTTGAGACAGAGGATGAGGCTACTCTTCCCTTCTCCCTGGTTGCGAGGGAAGTTGAAGAGAGGCTTCAAACTCTGGGTCTCATGGCCTTTTCAGCCAAACATGCAGCTCAGGGACTGCCCAGAGGGCCCGCCTGGGCTTCCACGCGTCTCTCAGCGTGTCTGGCCAGGCAAAGCTTCTCTCTGGCGCTCTGGGACTACTTGACCTTCTTCTTCTTTCCTTCTTTCCTTAGTCAGTTGTTTACCATGTAGCAGCCTATACTACCTCCTGGACAAACATTAGGTCATTTATTCGTAACAATAATCTTTGTTATCCTCATGAATAAAGTACAGCCCATAAAGATGAAGAAACCTGATCAGAGTTGCACAACGAGCAACTCACAAGGGCCCTTCATCCACTCCATGAATATTATTGGTTCATTAAATGCATTCATTTGGTGAATATTTATTGTTGCTGATCTCACTGCCTACTCTGTGCCAGCACCCAAAGGTCCAGAAAGTCATCAGGTATGAATTTCAGAATGCGGAGGCCACGCCCATTCCAACCTTTGTGGCCAACCTTGTGGATGGCTGCAAAGCCTCAGGCTGCATTGTCCCCCAGGGCCTCTGGGGTCAGTATGGACAACCCAGGCATAGGGCTGAGTCCGGCTTGTGCTCCAGTTTCTGGACCTGGGATCAAATCCCGATGCTTGGAGTTGTGGGCTTACAGATTAGCAAGGGAGGTCAGGTCTCCAACTCCAGACCACGCGCTTCATGGAACAGACATAAGTAGAAGGGGGGCGGGGAGGAAGGAAAGACAGCTTGGGTCCATGGCGCGTCTCCCTGTGTCACGGCTGCTCAAGGCCTTTTCACTTATGTGTTGTTATGATCCCCATTGTTTTAGTGAGACACTAAAGCTCAGAAAGATAAAATGATTTGCTCAAGGCCACAGAGTCAGTAAGTGACTTGATCCCAAGTGTGTCTGACTCAGGGCTCATGTAATTTCTCCGAACAGCACAG